ATATAGCAATATTGATTGATTTAGCATTTAAATACATACGTATTCATTTATATAGCAATATTGATTGATTTAGCATTTAAATTACATACATATTCATTTATATAGCAATATTGATTGATTTAGCATTTAAATACATGCGTATTCATTTATATAGCAATATTGATTGATTCGCCATTTCAATGAATATGTTCAAGCATATAAATGAATGAAATTGAATTGCAAATAGTTCGCTGACACATCGGAATGTATTCTATGCTGTAATGTAAACGGTTTTTGTCCATTAATGTATCAAATCAAACGACCACATTTGGTTTTTCCCTGTCATTCTTTTGGTTTATATATCAACCAAACTGTTCGTTTACTTTTTTCGTAATAATAATAAAAAAAAAAAATCCAACTTTTCCTTTTTCTCTCTTCTCCTCCATCTCTTCCATCTCATTTCTCCTTTTCTTCTACAACATTTAAATCTCATTTTGATGATCATTTGTTTAACTTTAATTCTTCTTTCATTCTCTCTACCTCTTCTTAACCTTTTCTCCATTTCTATATTGTCTACCTGTCGTAATATATTATTTTATTTCGTAATATTTCACTCCTTTTTCAAATTCTTTTGTTTCTGATTTAAAACAAACATATTCATATGACTACACATTCTTAATTCCAATCCCTTATACATTGTTTACATTTACATCATTTTGTTTACTTTTTCCACTTCTAACTCCCTTCTTCATCTTCTTCTTCTCTTTCAACTACCATAAGTTATATGATCAGTCAGTCAATCAGTCAATCAATCAATCATTTAATCAATTAATCAGTCAACCAATTAATCAACCAAACATCCAGCATAGCGAAATATTTACCTGTAATCGATAATTATTACTATCATTACAATCCAAGAATTATTTGATTTCAATATTTAAGCATTTTTATTTTTCATTTTCTTTTTTTTCCTTTTAAGTGATAATTCATAGTTTTTTCTTTTTAATTTTGACGATTCATTCCAACAAATTGATATGAATGAATGGATGAATGATTGAATTCTCATATTATCAATTTAATTATTCAATTATTAAATTAGATTGTTGATTACTGATTCAATATTATTCGCTGAATGGCTTATAAGAATGTTTATCATTATGGCGATGGTTATACTACAACTTATTCCAGTAGCCATTATGCTTATCAAGTTTGTTTTCATCTTTTATCAATTCAATTTTTCTTCCATCATTTCCATAAAATTCAAATATTTCTTACGTAACCGGATTTTAAATCCGGTTACAATATATATTAGTTTACAATAAATCATTCCTTTCATCAAATCCGAATCAATTTGTTACAAAAATTTAAAATCAATCATATTCATTAAGTAATATCAGTTTTTAAACAACGATTTACAATCGTTCAAGATTGATAAAAAAAAAAAAAAAAATAAAGTCATATACTAGTTTAGAATTT